GGGACTAGCCCATCTCTCACGAACGTTCTTAAAGAGAGGCGTTACTTTATGCAGCTTTTTTCTGTGAGCAGATACCTACTTTTCTGCCTTGAATTTATGAGGTGCATTGGAGGGTACAATACCTCTTGCTTCGTTACAAGCGTCACTGGAAAGTCCTGCGTCCCATTCCTGGAAATGAAAATTGTTTCTGAGAATCATTTTCTAGCTCCACTTATGTAGGTGTTAAAGATGCGCTGACTTACCTGCAAGATGAACTCTTGCCAGTGACGTAAACAGGTTCTCGCAAAGAACTGCCATTTTCATCACTCGAAAGTACGCGGAAACGAAGCTGATGCTGGTATTGCTTATTGCCGTTTGAGACTTTGCCAGCTGTCCACAAAGGCACGTGTATTGGTACCGAAGACTCTTGGCGAGCAACATGAACTGCAAACTGCCCGTCGCTGCCAAGAGTAGAGATCGGCCACACGAAGGGGAGCGGACAAGAAGCGCGTTTGGCTATACTCAAGTGTAGGCTTGTCGTGCCGCAATCTGCGTGCCCGTGTGCGTACTCGAACAAGCATCTAGCTACCACTACCTTGCAGTCCCATTTCGGCGCACTTTCGTTCTACATGGCAAAAATCAGCGTCCTCAAAGGTGAACGCGCAGCGTATCTTTGAGAAGAAAAAAAATCACAAGGAATTTAGACCTACAAGAATCAGAAAAGAATTGAACGAAATGAAGAAAAAATGAAGTAAAAGATGATTGGAACCAGGAATTAGAATTTCATCTAATACGTTATTGGATTCAGCCCACTTCACATCCTGTCAAGAATTTCAGAGACGTTAGAACTGCAACGCAGTATGGGCCGTAGTCGTCTTCGAAGGGGGGTGGGGATGGTGGTTTGTGTAGTAACTTCAGTTAAAAATCTATATGAATGACCTAAGAAAAAAATTAGTAGAACACCAACCAGTTTGGAGTTGAGGCCCAGATTGAATCCTGAGTACCACTCCTCCATTGCAGTATAGGTAGGGCATCTATCTGAACATACTTTCCTTCTCCCTTTGTGGAGTGAGATTTACTTTGGCAGCCGCCATAGGCTCAGAAAGAGTTTCAGCTACCATAGAGATGGAACAATTGTGCCTACCGTGAGCCCCAACGCTGATGAGGAGGAAGCACAGTGGAATGAGGAGCGAACAACATTTCGATGGAGACATATTCTTGCCCGTCCATTTTATAGGGCATTCCAGCGATGGTTTACAGTCATTCCTCATTGGAATCATCTGGAAATTTCTATCAAGCCGTTAGGTAAATTGTGTACCCTTTTTGCCAGCACTTCTTATTCACGTGTTCTGCGTTTTAGAGAACCAGAAATCGATGGAAACAAAGCATATTGTATTACAAGCAAATATGAAGCTTGATCGTTATTGATCCAACACTCGCCCCATATTTTTGGACCATTTGGCGGTGACATGTCAGCCTACATACCCGTGATGGCTTGAGCTGCCGCAGTGGTTGCGGATCTCAGCTGTTGAAAGAACGGTGGGAACTGAAGTCTTGAAAAGTTTGAAGTCGAGCAGAGTGCAAAAAACTTGATAGAAATTGAGCTTCCGGAAAAAAAAGCCGTGAGAACACAGTCCTACATCGCCACATGCTTTCATTAGGTTTAGATGTAGGAAGTAAGAAAACACAGAAACCGAAGGTAAGAAATAATAACTGAAAAACCTGACCTGGCTGAAATGTGTTCGTGACGGGCGGTAAGAGCTTGCACTGGAATCTAATGAGCATGGTTAAGTAACCCTCGAAATTAATTTGGAAGTCGTGACGGTACTGGTGGGATAGCTCTGTCAATTTGTGATTTTTCTTTTAGTAGATGAGGCAGCAGTTAGTTTAATAGTTGGTAGTAGTTTAGTATAGTAATCAATATTCAATATTCTCATGTTAAATCAGAGATCGGCCACACGAAGGGGAGCGGACAAGAAGCGCGTTTGGCTATACTCAAGTGTAGGCTTGTCGTGCCGCAATCTGCGTGGTGTGCGTACTCGAACAAGCATCTAGCTACCACTACCTTGCAGTCCCATTTCGGCGCACTTTCGTTCTACATGGCAAAAATCAGCGTCCTCAAAGGTGAACGCGCAGCGTATCTTTGAGAAGAAAAAAAATTCAAAAGATTAAGAACCTACAAGAATCAGAAAAGAATTGAACGAAATGAAGAAAAAATGAAGTAAAAGATGATTGGAACCAGGAATTAGAATTTCATCTAATACGTTATTGGATTTAGCCCACTGACTCACATCGTCAGAATTTCAGAGACGTTAGAACTGCAACGCAGTATGGGCCGTAGTCGTCTTCGAAGGGGGGTGGGGATGGTGGTTTGTGTAGTAACTTCAGTTAAAAATCTATATGAATGACCTAAGAAAAAAATTAGTAGAACACCAACCAGTTTGGAGTTGAGGCCCAGATTGAATCCTGAGTACCACTCCTCCATTGCAGTATAGGTAGGGCATCTATCTAAAACATTTTCCTTCTCCCTTTGTGGAGTGAGATTTCTATTTGCACGCCATAGGCTCAGAAAGAAGTTTGAGCTAACCATGAGATGAGAATTGTGGCCTACGTGAAGACCAACGCTGATGAGGAGGAAGCATAGTGATGAGAGCGAAAAACATTTTTGATTGAGCACACGCTCTTGCCCTCATTTTAATAGGCACTTCCAGCGAATGGTTTACAGTCCATTTCGCTCAATTGGGTATACATCTGGAAATTTCTATCAAGCCGTTAGGTAAATTGTGTACCCTTTTTGCCAGCACTTCTTATTCACGTGTTCTGCGTTTTAGAGAACCAGAAATCGATGGAAACAAAGCATATTGTATTACAAGCAAATATGAAGCTTGATCGTTATTGATCCAACACTCGCCCCATATTTTTGGACCATTTGGCGGTGACATGTCAGCCTACATACCCGTCCCATTGGCTTGAGCTGGTCGAGTTTTGCGGATCTCAGCTGTTGAAAGAACGGTGGGAACTGAAGTCTTGAAAAGTTTGTAGTCGAGCAGAGTGCAAAAAACTTGATAGAAATTGAGCTTTCCGGAAAAAAGCCGTGAGAACACAGTCCTACATCGCCACATGCTTTCATTAGGTTTAGATGTAGGAAGTAAGAAAACACAGAAACCGAAGGTAAGAAACAGTAATAATAGCATGGTTAACTAACTCGTCGAAATTGGATTTGAAAATCGTGAAAGTGCTCTACCTCAGCTCTCACGGTCTTGATAAGGTGATGCTACCTATCGTGGCCGTAGAGCTCGAAATGGAATACAGCGTTACATGATTTTGAAGCGCCTGCACAGTATTTGTAAACAAAGGTTTGCTTGCTGCGGATGCTCACACGTGTCAGGGGAGGAGTGACCAGCCCTTTTGCCACCAACAGAAGTCTCTCACATGCTTCAACAACTGGTGGAGAACTGCGCCGTGCCGAACAGAGGGACACCGACACGCTCCCGGCAACCGCAGTGAGCAAGACTGCAGAGAGTGCGAGATAATAATTAAGGAAGTAAAGACCTACAATTCTGGGGTCATTCCTAGTTACGATTCCAAATCACTTTTGGGAGAGCACGGAATTGCAGGGCGAGGAAAAAATTGTGAAGTGGTGTACTTTCAGCTCCCGCGTCATACGAGTGAAACATGTGTGTTGAGCGCCTTTGAAATACGTATTTCTTCAGAGAGTAAAGCCAAACTTATCCTAAGGGTATGTCAATGGTTATGGATGAGCAGCGGTGTAGCCAGTGATGGTCACTTTACATGATACAGTTCTGATCAAAACTGGAGAGGAACGAGCGCTCGTCAACGCCACACTGAAATGACTTGAACTTGGTGCGACTACCGCGCGTGGTTCTTGCCGTGATAAAGCTGAAAGCGTCTAGTTTGCTTCTCTTTTGACTCCCTTGCTGTACTATGTAATCAACTATGCGGCCCGCACCACCCGTACAACGTGATCGCTCGCGCTATGCAACCGGACGCACGAGTAATCGTGTCTTCGTTGGGTTTTCTGTAGTTAATGTTTCAACAACAGCCAACTTTTAATTAGGAAGGTCATATGGTTTCGTGCTGAGTAGGTGTACAATTCGCTGGCTGCGTACGCTCGATTATTGATTCGATGAGAAAGGATTTTGTAGAGTTCGGTAATGGTGAAAGTGATGTGGGCACGGTTTAAGAAGCCTGTCTTTGAAAACAAAATTGGACAGAAACTGGTGGGTTTGCCATGACGTTCTACACTCTCTGTTTCACCTCTCTGATGTGGGGAGATTTCCAAAATTCATTGCTGGAAGAAATTAGAAGTCGTTTTGAAGGGAAAGCGATGGTTTCTTTCTGAGCGTGATGATCTTGAGCGATGCCCCTATCTTCCTCACCATTGATTGCTCTGATGAGATTCTGTGTATGTTCTCGTTTCTGGATTATCTAAGCACTGTACGCTCATCTCCCCATTTTTTATTTAAAACGAAGTCGCAAAGAGAGTGCAGGAAGTATTTAATGATGTTCGAGTCAGTTCGAGAACCTTTATTTCGCAAAAAACCAGAGTAAAGTTTCTTGTCAGCTGCTTGTTTGTTGGAGACAAATCATTCCATCATCACTTGTAGACACAGACGACTTTTACTAGGTTCCCTTCGAAGAAGCTGTTGCATCCATATTTGGTGTGTGCAGGAAGTTGCGTACCTAATGAAAACGATAAGACAGAATATGAACAATACGGAAACTCCTTGATTTACGGAAACTCTTTGGTCTCACATTCTTACATTCGATCTTACAGCCCACATCAAAAAGTGGTCGTGAGGATGGGGTTTTCGTCATACAGTCTTTTCATATATAGAGCGAAGGATTTCGCAAGGGAATATTTGTAGTTCTCTCGCGCGGCTAAACTGAAGCGTATCACTCTCATGCTTATCCTGACGAAGGACTTCGTAATTCAACCGTAAATGACGTGGAATGCGTTCCTGTGGGGATGATTTCATCTAACAATCAATAAATTGTCACCCTGCACAATGACATGACTACAGTCGTCCCAAAGACCACAACTGAAAGGGCAGCTGGCGCCACGTTCAAATAACATGACGTAGCCACGCCCTATTCTTCGGGATATGCAGTGAATACGGTGTACTTTGACCATTCATCGTTATCTCTCTCTTATCCCATTCCAGAACTGAAGCTGTACCGTTGCACTTCCACGCCCACAAGATCTCAATGTTATGAGAAATTTTGCTTTAACTCACATTCTCGGTTTGTATTTTGTCCTTCAAACCGTCCTTTAGGGTTTCCATTATCATGTCTGGGACTAGCCCATCTCTCACGAACGTTCTTAAAGAGAGGCGTTACTTTATGCAGCTTTTTTCTGTGAGCAGATACCTACTTTTCTGCCTTGAATTTATGAGGTGCATTGGAGGGTACAATACCTCTTGCTTCGTTACAAGCGTCACTGGAAAGTCCTGCGTCCCATTCCTGGAAATGAAAATTGTTTCTGAGGATCATTTTCTAGCTCCACTTATGTAGGTGTTAAAGATGCGCTGACTTACCTGCAAGATGAACCCTTGCCAGTGACGTAAACAGGTTCGCGCAAAGAACTGCCATTTTCATCACTCGAAAGTACGCGGAAACGAAGCTGATGCTGGTATTGCTTATTGCCGTTTGAGACTTTGCCAGCTGTCCACAAAGGCACGTGTATTGGTACCGAAGACTCTTGGCGAGCAACATGAACTGCAAACTGCCCGTCGCTGCCAAGAACTATAGCGCCCTTCTAGTATTCTTACTTCGACTTGAACACCAGTTTCTTGTTCCTGTAAAATCGAACGAGCGGCTGTTTTGCACTTTGCTAGCTCTCAATAGGCTGCATTTATACTTTGCGCAGTTACGCTAGCGGCGGCAGTGTCGGGGGAAGGATAGATATCGATCTAGCGTTCCCAGCGTCACCAGCGTACGCTAGCGTGCCGCTAGCGCACGCCAGCGGCACGCTAGCGCATGCTGGCGTAGCGAGGGCACGGGAAGCATAGCTATCGATCTAGCTTCACCAGCGTTTCTCCAGCGTTTTCCCACCGCTTCCAGCGACGGGGCTGAGAGTTATCTGAAACGGTATTGAAAGTGCGAGAGTAACAAAATACTCTCCTCCCTTTCACTACTCTCTAGCCCTCTCTAGCCCGTTCTCGACTGTAAAGGCGCTGGGAAAACGCTGGAGAAACGCTGGTGAAGCTAGATCGATAGCTATGCTTCCCGTGCCCTCGCTACGCCAGCGTGCCGCTGGCGTGCGCTAGCGGCACGCTAGCGTACGCTGGTGACGCTGGGAACGCTAGATCGATATCTATCCTTTCCCCCGACACTGCCGCTGGCGTACGCTGGAAGCGCTACGCTACGCTGCCGCAAAGTATAAACGCAGCCTAAGGAATGTTGGGGCACTTTGGCTTGGGGGGGCAATAGATGACGCTATCATGCGATTTGTCAAAAGTCGCGGCGGCCCGCGTCAATAAGCGTAGGAGGTGTTTGAACACGAAAGAGAAGGAACCACGGGAATCACAAGGAGAGGATGCAAAAGAGAACGTCGGAAGCACCCCTTATTGGCCCTCAAAATGAAAAAAAAACCAGATTAGGCAGTCATTAGAGATGGGACACCGTCGAAACTAGGACCCCGGAAAAGCGACCGAGCTTCCATTTTTTATGGCGATTATCCGCAGCGTGTTTTTATTTCACTGTATTAGAAATAACCGCTGAAAAGAGAGCCGCACTTTCACATCATTGTGTCGTAGCGTCATTTTCCACATTTCTATCATGTCAATCGTAGCGGCATGCTCGAAGCCCGAATTCGCATATGGTAGCGCACACTTTTCTCTCGCACGAAACCCAGTCAAAGTAAAAGCTCATCGATGTTAAGACACTGCTGGACCACCCACCGCTTAAATGTATTTCGTAGAAGCACCAGTGGAGCGGGCTACTCCGACAACACCAACCCATGTTTTGAAAAGATTCCACAGAAAAATTTTTCCCGCTCAATGATTCTAGCGCCTGGCTCGTCAGTTCAAAGATTTTAACTTCTGGCTCGTTGAAAACAGATGAGGTATGTAACTATACCACAAGTCATTATGGATTAAGGATGCTTGGATTTTTTTTTCAAGGCTCTACCTTACAGTAGCAAACGTTTTCTGTAAAATCCATCATCATCGCCTTTGTAACATTCATTTCTAGTTCCAGCAGTTAGTAGCTGGCAACTAGGCTCTCATTTCGGTCCAACTAACTCACTTTTTATTAGTCCACTTGACTGGTCAAGCTATTTATGTATTTAATGCATCCACAGATTCGCAAATGAAGGGTGCCCCGAAATTTTGAGAACGCTAGTTTGTAGACTCGAAACATACACGGACTGAGGTTATTGCTCGCTGATATTTCCAGGGTATCCACCTCCTCCGTAACTTCGGTAAGAGAAAAAGTTTACGACCCTTCCGTTACAACAGCGCCGTGTGGCTTCCTTTCTTCCGCCCCTTCCTCAACCTCTATGCGAACTCTTGCAGTCATGCCACCGATGGGGTGGCTGTGATTTTAGGAGCCCTTAAATTCATACGCCGCTCAGACTGCCTGCCAAATTACCACTCTTTCACTCACCATCAATTCTCCTTCCAACTGTATTCAGTGTGTGACAACAAGACCCGCTGATTTTGCCATTACTTGCCCGTAAACCCGAAAATCTAAAAGCACCCAGCAACTACCTAGTGTAAAATATTCTTACGTAGGTACTCGTAAGAGCAGTGCAAAAACTACTAATATCACTGCCCAGGTAGAGTTAAAGACTCCCATAGATTTACTTGTAGCATGAGTATAGCTAGCTTTACTAACTATTCTTAGTGAAATGATGTACGAGGAAGCACCCCACGCTTCCTCGTACTAGAAGGGCCCTTCTTGCACGCTTCCTCGTTGACACTTTCAAATGGTATTGACAGATTCAGTGCTCAAGTAGTCTGCGAAAAATTTCGTTCGCAGCAACTTAAATTATCGGACCCTGTTTTATCTTACGCCAAGAAAGTGCGAAGATGCGGATTGTCAATACGCGTGTTTACTGCCCTGAGCATCTACACTATATCTACCTCGCACGGCGTCGTAGGCGTACATGAAAACCGTTTTGCCAAATATTTATTAGAGCTTCTGACATGAGTGGTGTGACTCATTCCTTTGATGGACAACAGAATCAGGGTCGTCCATTGAAGCATTTGCTATTAGGTGCATGCAATGGTGTCGAACGGGGGAGGGGTCTATAGTGCGGCTGAAACGGGAACATGAGAAATTCAGCGTCGGTGGTAACATTCGAGCTGTCCGTGCGACGTACTCTTTGACATGTACAAGCAATGTGAAGTTCTCCTTTTCGCTGCCACCCATGCCGAACCAATTATACCTTAACCCATTACGATGTCGCAACCGGAGTCCTTGATGATAACGGTTCAGCCTTCTCACTGTTGAAAATGTGTAGTAAGCAAGAGGGACCAGATGTTGGTAGATAATGACTGATGTTGAGCTTTTTTCGACTCATTTCCCTACATTTTAATGAAAAAACTGCCACTGTTTGGCACATTTAGCGCATTCTACCTCGCCCAAGGGAAGAGTGCCTGGCGAAGCCAGGTCGGCCCGGCGAAGCCGGGCCGTAGCAAAAGGAGGAGCACCCGGCGCCAGCCGGGTGATCCGACTGGTTAAAATAATGTGTGTTGTAACTCCTCAAGCCACCTCGCACGATGGCTGACGCACCATCCATTTGCTGAGAAATCCATACATTTCGCACAGACATTTCATTGAACAGTTCGGTTTCGTTATCATGATTTCTGTCTTTTGTTTTCTTGAGCCAATGAGAGTTATTTTCTAAATTAACGGTATCGAAGGACCTGCAACAAGAAGTTGACGTGTGTTGTAACAAACGACGCAATATTATGTCTCGATACGATTCGTTACAAACTCATGACATCGGGACAAAACTGAACTGTATGCTTTTCTTTTCCTCTATTTAGTTTGTACCAAGGAGTATTGACCGGGAATTCAATTTTACATAAAAGTGCC